TGTGTGTGTGTGTGTGTGTGTGTGTGTGTGTGTGTGTGTAGAAACTGAAAAGAAATTGGAAATCTGTAATGGATGTAAACACCAGATTCATAACAGTCCAGTATGGCTGTAATGCCTTGGCTAATGGACTGTAGTAAACCACTGAGGTGTTTCATACAGATTCCACGTTCACTTTGAGAGATCATTTGCAGTAAAGCAGGTTTTTTTTTTCCTTGAAATCTCTGGTCATTTTTTACTTTAATTTATTAAACTTCATTTCCTGTGGATCGTCAGGTTAATATCTGTTCTGTGCATGCAGCCGATCCTCTGTTATTCCAAAAAATCAATTTCATTCACTAAGCAATCTAATTATAAGATATAATTAACATTAGGAATGGATATTTTGGATTATACTGAATAAATGTTGTGTGGAATCTGGCTAGAGCAAGCAGGTATCTTGTACTGTAGGTCAAGTTAATAATCTATCAATTCGAAGCTAAATTAATTGACTAAATTAAATGGCCCTGTTGTATGACTTGCATAAACACACTTGCATTTATAAAACCTAAAAAATGTGTGCCGTTAGCTAGAAAACATAGCAGTTTTGTCAAGGGATGAATTGAAACCCATGAAAATGTACATTGTCAAATACTCGGCGGTTAGCATGCTGCACAGCTCCGGCCTTCTGAGCCAAAATCAGCTTATTCAGTCACAGTCTCCAAACATGCAAAGACTGTCCTTGAATATTAAGATGACTTTTCAAAGAGGATGGACAACAAAGGCTTTAATACATTTACCCTGCACGTGGCCTTCACACAGCCTCAAAGTCAAAAATAAAAAAATAAAAAAATAATGCAATGTTAGTTTTGTTATGCATGAGGAAAACAAGCACGCTGTCGAACCGAGTGAGTTCTATGAATACATTTTGATTGGTGCATACTGTACCGAGCTGATTCTTCAGACTCGTGATAAAATAAATCTATAAGCCAAGGTGTATCAATCATTCACACACTATGATCAGAGATTGAAAGAGATGGAGATGGAGAGATGCTCTTCATGACACGTACTGTAGCTCTAACTTCAAGTCTCATTCATTGTACCACTAAGGCAATCACTCAGTGGCTCGGGTTCAGTGGCTCTGTCTAAGTATGTAAGCATTGTCCCATTAATGCCTAGATTGAGTGGTTATGCTTCCTCATCTGAGACTAATGGACAGATTATAACCTGAGAGAGAGAGATGACTGATTATTATACCTGCCTGTAGCCCCTATGCCTATTTCTTCATCACCCATATGTCTGTTCCACTGATTCTCCTCTCTGTCATTTCAATTCAAAAGCACTTTATGAGCATGAAAGCTACACCGTCTTGGCAACTTTGCACATACTGGTAAGTGGTGTGCTGAAGAACCGTACTACAAATGAGTGTCATTTCTTTGTAGCTAAAAGGTGAATCATCCAACAAAGAAACAAACAGCAGCAGGAAATTACACCATCAATTAGTAGCACAGAACAAGAAAAGTTAAAAGAAATGTGCTGTGGTTTCGCTGGTCCAGACTCTTGAGTTTTATATAATTCGTACGTGAAGCTTCCAATATTTAATTAGGCTACTCTCGCTACTTAATTCCTACTTAATCTTATTTTGTCAAAAAAGGTAATATCACCCACTGCAGCCATCCTTCTAAACCTACTGTAGGACTTTATAAGAGTCTAAGTTCTGTCCATATTCTAAAAAAACCCCACAAATGTTTGGCATTTTTCCATCATTAGAACAACCTGTTTGGATAATTAGATCATGTTTCTTATTTATTTATTTATTTGCTCTTCAGTCATCAGTTTAATATTGTGTTAATTATATGTGTTGTTGGAAAGATGGAGCGACCGCTACTATGGTTACTAAAGGTATATTTAGGAGTTTTTATTTTCTGCTATGGGTTTAGCTAGCTATATTCTGAATGCTGCCTCTGACCATTAGATCATGTGTTAAATTAGAAAAAGAGCAAAAACACAAATCTGTTCACTAAGACACTGTTAGTCTGAAGTTGCATCATTATTTGAATGCTTAAGAAACTTAAGTAATAGAGCGTGTATTATCCAAATAAGTTTGCATAAAATCAGTCATATACAAGTAAAAAACTTTACCCGAATAATTCACTGGGTATGTTAACATGTTTGTTAAGTTTATGAGCATTGGGGCAAATTTTTCAAAAAGTTCACTTGTTATATTTTTAGCGGCCTGAGGTCCCATTACAGTGAACTGATTAATGATAATGATTATAATAATCCTATTTTGTTCAAAGGTTAACATTTGAAATATGATATTAGGGACGTGGCCTTTTATTGCTATGAGGCTGCCGTCAGTGGCGGTTAAGGAGCTGTCTGCTAGACCAGCGGTCCCCAACCTTTTTTGCGCCACGGGCCGGTTTATGCCCGACATAATTTTCACGGACCGGACTTTAAGGTGTCGTGAATAAATACAACAAAATAAAACTAGTACCGGTACAGAAAAAAATTTGATTTATTCATAACACACGTGACAAGACCCAGGAAAACCGATTTAAC